GTTTGTCGAGACTCGGGTTTGCTTTATACTCCGATTCAGCCATCAGCTGGGTATTAGTGTAAGCTCGTTTTACTCGAAGGATAGAGTTCCCGCCGCGGTCCAATTCCTTTGTACGCGTCTCTGCAATTCGATAGCCTTTCATCCGGCCCCGTCGGCTTTCATCCGGCAGCTGCGAAATCTCTTGCAAAATATCTATCGTAATTTTCAGCGAGGAAAATCTTCGACGCGGCGTCGAAACATCGCGGCTGATCTCTCAGCCGAGGTACGATCCAATTTGCGTTTAGCGCGCCTCCGGCTGATCCCTAAAGAGTTCCTGTCGATCGTCCGCGAACGAAGTTACCGGAGAGGAGAGCTTAATCGTCGGCTGAGCAAACAAAAACGTGCTGAGACAGGGTTCCGTCGGCGACGGCTTTATCTAGCCAGATTTTACCCAAACATTTTTCGTGTCTTCGACGAGTCGCGATGCCGAGTATTAACGGCCGTCCACAGTTTCGTACAAATTTTTTGCCGGCTGTTAAGGCAGAAAAAAACGACGCGTAATATCTCGGTTAGGCAAGCCTCGTTCTGTCCATTGTCGCCGGGCTAAAGTTGTCCGGCGTTGTTGGAAAATCACGGAGGGGGAGAACGGGGTTGAAAACGGACGAGGGTGGCGCCGAGACGTCTCGTCGCCGGTTTACCGCTGCTTTATCGGCGTCGTCCCGTTACTCGCCGACGACGCTCAGCATCTCGTCCCCTCTCCTCTAGTTGTTTCTCGCTTTCCGCGTTCTCCTTGCTCCCCCGAGCGTTGGTTCTCTCCTGTTTCTCTATCGATCCTCTCTGCTCCCCGTCTTCGGTCGGCCCGGCTACGAGCCGCTCTCCGCTTCTCAGCCGTTCCTACCCGCCAGACGCCAGATAAGCGACGCCGATGACCCCGGCGAGCGATCGGCCCGAATTTTCCCTTTCTGGCATTTCTTTAACCGTGCAACTTCCATATGTACTTACGGGGATGTTTGCGTTTCGAGTCGCGGCAATTTTCTCCAACGACTGAGGGATATTCCGCGAAACGAGATGCAATTTATCTCACGATTCCATTTGCCTGGCGCCAGACGCAAACACGATCGTTCAGTCAGGTAATAATTGTGCAAATCCAATTGCCATCAGCTGAAAGACTCGGCTCGTTTCCCTTTTAACTCGATCAAAGAAAAAAAACAGCACATTTTTCTTGTTGACACAAAGCACAATCGTTTCTCATTAATAGAATCTGTTCAATACGAGTGTTCGTTCACGTGTCTGGTAGGAATAGAACGATCTTTACAGAACTTTAGGAGGAATAAAATTTCTTTAACCTAGAGCGGTTCGTCGGTTATATATCTCCGAGCTCCTTCACATCTCGCAAGGCCGTACGGAAGCTTAGCTAGGATCCCGAGAACCGGGTGACCTAGAGCTTTTCGCGTTAACTTATTCAACGCGCTGACGCGGCGGTTTCCGTGCCGATGAGCATTTGTCCCTCTTCTCCGTCTTCTTGTGCAACGTGTTTTCGAAAGCGACGCACTTTGCCTCTGGCACAGATTTCTCCACCACCTACCTCATTTTTACGATCCAGACGAAACACGTGATAAGCAAAATCAGTAAATAATTTACACCGTTATTCCAAATCCTGTAGGACTTAATTTTATTTTGGAATAAGTACATTGTGGAACGCTGAAAGAATGGAAAGGAAGAGTTACTTTTTGTCTTTATGAATCGCGTAATCCTCTCAGCGAGAGGTACTACCCGTTCTCTTTCCGCCTTTATTATTCATGCACTTCCTGGGTATGTTATCCTTCTTATTACGCCCTTTGACAACCAGATGAGGTAATAATCCCATGTAGAGCGATAAGAATTTTATTAATTAAACGATTACAGCGTGAAGTACAAATTGGAATACGTGTGAAATTCATTTAGAATTTATTCAGCGTCGGCATAAATAGCCGTCGCTTTGAACGGTGGCGAGCGTTGTGGAGCCTGGGGTGAGATTCGAGTGGCACGAAAAAGAAAGTTGCCCGTTCCGTGGCATTTATTTCTACTTCGGTCGAGTCTTGGTGAAAAATTTCTAGCTTCGCGAAAATTATCCGAGAATCGCGCGTCACGTTCCTCGAGCGATAAAGACGCCACGGTTCTCGCGGCGTGATTTCCAAACGTTTCACGACGCTCTATCACGGCGAATCGTTTTATCGCAGACTTCTCAGCCATTCGGTGGCTCTAATAAACCGTGGCGAATTCACACGGCCGCGTCCAACGAAACCCGTCGTTCCGTTGATAAAATCGTGGCCCGGTCACTCCGGATAACTCCGAATCAGGATCGAACCGCGGTATTACTTTTCACGACATCGTAAAAATATATTTACGAGTCGGAAACCGTATAACGTTATTATCCGAAATGGTTATGCCCTCGGCGAAGGAAATTTCGGAACATGCATAGAATACAGTTTGCATGTGCGCGGGTCCATTTACTGGTCATTATCATGTCTTCGTTACGACGTTCCAAGACAGAGGCAGAAATGCAGTGGTACGTCTTCAATGAGATCTCTTTTGCTTCCAGGTTCATCTCGTCTTTGGGATAAGCGGCTCGAGGGAAGATGGCGGCTTTCGTGGCAAAACAGATGGTCGGCAACAAGCTGAACGCGGTTAAAGGTGAGTCTCTCCATTCATGGATCCTTTTTGCATGCCAATTGTGTTTATAACTCGACCCGTAGACGACGACGAGCGCGTTGACCGTTAGATATTCGAGAAGCGCATACCACGTAGTTCACTCGGTGATAGCCATTATAGCCGTATTATCGATTGGCACTGTGCGATAGAGGTTTTGGGGCGCGATAGAAAATCGCTGTTTAGACTTCGTTACGTCTAGTACCGAATTAATGGGAGGTTGGAAAACGCGGTTTCATCGTGCCGGAATTCGGCGTTCTCGGGCGCGGCCAAAAATACCGTTTCACCGTGTCTTAATATATTTCTTTCGGCGAGGGGTGTATCAGCTTTTCGGTCGCGCTCGGTAATTTGGCACACGAATTAAGATTGATCGCACGCGCTAGCCAGGAAGGAACGAAAGCATTAAGCCGAGTGACGAAGCACCTCTCCCTCAGTCGCGTGGAGAAGAAAAAAAAATTATTTGCTTTCCAACCCCCGTGTTTCTCTGTACCCGCAATGTACTTACATGGATCGTTCAAGAGTGATAACTTTCTGTTTAACATTGAATAAGTCCTGGTGAAAATAGCTCGCCACCTTTGTCTTTACTTATCGAATGACCCAAGTATTTTTACCGTATCGACCCGAGTTAAAAGAATCTTTCCTTATGAAGCTCGCCCGAGCGACGCGTATAACACTCGAAATAGAATCTGCCGCTGTCCGTTTAATGCCGTACACGTAACCGTGCCAGCGACGTGTATAAAAAAGGCGAGTACGAGCCCACCGCCACGTTAATAAGCTCGACAAACGTGGTCCGACTCCTGACGTTTTCGATTACACGGAATAATGTATTCCATTAAAGCAGCAGCCACCGCCACAATGATTCGTTTCCGGCGCGCGACGCCGTTTTTCACCGTCGGCTACCGATTTCGAGGAACAAAAACGACTGTGTCGCGACCCTCTGTTCCGTTACGGGCTACGTAGCAAATAGTCACGGGATCGAATATTACTCACTGGACTTCTTATTATGCTTGGAAACAGTGGAACTGATTTGCTCGTGCTGATCCTCGTGAAATGGAATACTCTCGGAAAGACGGTGGGAATACCGCGCGGCGGAGTCTCTAATTTTCCGCGGATTTCACGGGGCACCACTTGGCGAACGGGACACTTAATCATTGTTATTGAAGTTACGATTACAAGTTGGCCAGTTAGAGTAGGAATTGAAGAGGACGGAGGGTCGAGGGACGGAGGGTGCACGCGTCGCCGACGGTGGCTTGTCGGCTTCGCTGGCAGGTTGAACGATGGTCCGCAATAAAACTTCTGTCATTAAGGGAAAGTTTCAGTCCCCCCACTGTCGGATCGCGAGCAGCATCGGGCAGCGTATCGCGGGGAATCCGTAATGGGAAACCGGGGACCTTCGTCAACCTCGAATCTTTCTTCGGGAGCGCACCTTTAACTCACTTGGACACAATCAATCCATCCTACCCTATCGTTGGGGCTTCGCTAACCGCAGGCTCCGCATTCTTTCCGACCCCTCGAGTCCACCATTTTATGTACACGTTGATCCGTCTTCGATCTACACTCTAAATATGTCACGGTCTATCCAGTTTTTAAAGCTTTTACATTATGTAATGTGCTAGTCATGCTTCGGAACGTTTAACGAGGAGCATCACATGCGTTACTTTGACGAATTTAAAACGTTCTAATAGGCAGGATTCGGTGTGAAATTTTAATTACACGTGTTTTTGTAAAACGGTAAACCGCTTCAAACGTACTTGTAGCAATTATCGCAGTTTGCCCGTCACGGTGTAAAACGATCGCGGGAATGGGAAAGGGACGGAAGTCCCCGAGTGGCGGAAACCATCGGTTTGTTCAGGGGGTTGCGACAGGGTTTAGCGGAAAGCGCAGTGGGGAAACTTTGCTGGGCTACGCGGAAGAGTGGACGAATCGAATGGCAATTAGTTTCGGATGACCCGAATGTAAGATAGTGAACAGAAGAGGGATGGAAAATGGGGTGAAAGGGAGAATGGAGCGATAAAAAACGGGAGGGAGCTTCTGTGGAGGAGAGAGTACGGGGGAGAAGGGGAACGGCAGGGGAGGAAGATCAAAGGGGTTGAAATTAAAGCAAGACTAGTATTTAGGAAAAAGGGTGCGAAGCGAGGGCTTGTGTAAAAATAGCGGCCAATCGACAAAAGGCTTTTGAGATTTACCGAGGGTTTATTTATCGCGAGAATAATACGATCATTTTTATTTAGATTTAGTTCGCGTTAATTTCGTCGGACGTAACCAATGAACTTTCAATGGAAAATACGCGGTCGTGAATACAACTCTCGATAATTCGAAAACCAATCCGAAATAGTGTTGTCGCTGGCAACGATAGAGTAATATGTACATACATACATACATATATGAATCGAAGTTGGCCAACTTTCACCCTCCTGTCCTCAGGCGTTGAAACTGTGTGGCAGGTTTTTGCTCGGTCAGCAGGTTAATTGACGTCTCGTTGCGCGACCACGACCTACTCCGATCTGTGGTTGCCCGCTCAAAGTCAAACCGACTGGCCGCGCTCTTTAACGTTATCGAATGGTTCTTCGCTTTTCAATCCCCCGGGCGTATTTCTTGTTACAAAACGTTGCTCTCCCCAGCTCTTTTTCAGGTTCTAACTATGCGTTCGAAATTGTTTATCAAATATCCAGGATCGCGCGCGGTTCACGGTACTTCAGAAGGTATTTGTCACCGGAAAATCAGACGTTTCCCCGTGAAGTCTCTCTATTTCACGGGACTCATTATCTCTCAACAAATCCAACCGGATTCGCAGCTCGAAGGAACTCGAATCAATCCCATTCGCGGCTGGATTTATTCGCCGTTCAACGATACGATCCTACTTGAAACCCGTCGATATTCGAGATCCGATTCGAAGCACCTATCAAACCATTAACCGCAATTTATGTTCTATCCAAGGTTCCTGTCTCGATTCATACGGAAAATAGACGCGTTTCGACGACTTGTCGTGCGAAATGGAAGAACGAGAGAAACAGCTTTTTAGCAGAGGTATTGTAAATAAATGACAGAACGGTTACAGCAAGAGATCGCGAGTGGGTGGAAAGGGTCGATGGCAAGGGTAGCGGTAATATGCGCGTGAGCGGTGATATTTATGGCGGTTGGATACGAAGATAATTATCTCTCTCTCGTTATTATAAATCACCCGAATGGTATGCAAATGTCGTGGCATTGTTTCAATTCAAGGAACGAGTGTGCACAGCGTGCGTCATTATTGATGGTTTATTTTGTGGCGGCTGCGTTCCATAATATACGTACGTGCCTATGCCACACACCTTCCCCGGATGATGCGCACGGTTTCAAAAGTATTACGACCGATCGATCCGTTTGCATTCGAAATGCGCGTACATGTTCTTCAGACACGTGCAATACGTCAGATAAATTAAACGGGACGGAGAAATAAAGATTAATAAAGAACTAAGAATATTACGCGTGTAAGAAATAATTCACATTCGTTCTAATCTCCGTCGTAAATCGCAATCGTAAAAGTGGAATAAAATTCTGTGCAAATCTCAATTTAAAAGACAAAAGCTGGATTTCATGCAAAACCGGACTATGTCCGCAAATCTTTTAACAGTCGTGAATAATCGTATGTAATACGTTTCATTCTTCTATACGAATTCATAAGAATATTCGAATATCAATCGCGAAAATTTGGCGGGGCTTCTCGGCTATCGAGTTTACCGAAAACGCGGTTCAAGAGCGCGGGACGAGCGCAGAGGATTAAATAATGTTTGCGCTTCTATACGGGACGAAAGCTCGCACGTGTGCAAGGAAGTCGCAGCACGGCCACGAAGTCGCTAATGGGGCTCAAAGGATTTGCGGAGGGATTAAGCTTGGGCAACGCGGTGAAGTTTCCTTCCACTCGGTGGGACAATAAACTTCTTTCGATGCACCACCGTTCCGAAAAATTAAACATAAGGAGAAATAAATAAACATTTATTTTCAATGTTTTTTTTTTATTTTAAACAATATTGAAGTTGAACAGTTTCTCCACGTGGAAATGTTCATCAAGAATACAAGCTGAGAATTTAAAGATGTAAATAATAGAAGGGAGATTAACGATCGACTGAACTGGGCGATCGCTTCGCACGGCCGGTCACGGGATCGCGTCGTTGCATCAATTATCTCGGCCGGATCCGGGTTTTCGCATCTGGACTGAACTATGGCGGACCCGGACTGCTGCGGTCGGAATTGGCCGTAGCGTAGCTGCGATGCCTGGTCGCACACACCCCGGTGTGTGTTCCTGTGCGGTTCCGCGGGAAACCCTCGCCAGAATGATCACGTGCTGCAATTTAAATGAACTCCCGCGAGAACTCTATTTACGATGCGTCTGGCGCTCTGTTCTCCTTCGTTCCGCCGCTTCGGACAAAGACCGGTAGCGGGCGGAGAACAAAGGGGAAGGAATAAGAATGAGAAGAAGAACTCCCTACCAGGGAGGAGGAAACTTTTCCGTGACTTATTCCGTTCGACGTTTGAATTATTTTCCGACCTTGTTCTTCTTCCGCGCCGGGGCTTCGGCGATCGATTCGTCTCGAGCCTCGAGCAAACTGGGGACGACCCACGTCAAGTCGAATTTTAATTACTGGAACGACTGAAAAAATACGAGGTCGGAAAGGACGCGGGCCGTAGGAACAGTTCTTAACCTACTGACTCGGCTGCGTCCTGACGCGAACCTACGTATGCATATGTATGTATGCAAAATCGCGTTCCGAGGTTTTCAGTCACAGACCGGGTCGCCAGGCAGGGAACGCGCGGCAGGTAGCTCGTGCATTGTTTTCGGAAGCGCATTCGTGTCAGCTGCAGGCAGACAGCTGCGCGCCACGGTTCAAATGCCTAGACCGGCCTCCTCGAATAAATCACGAGGACGCATAATTAATTGGAACGATTGTTTGTCGCGCGGCGATATCGATGAGCAGGCTGAATCGTCCGCGGACCTAAATCGCGTA